AACAAGAGAGATAAATGAAAAACACATGTTGTTAATGTTATTGAAAATACAAACAACTTATAGATTATGTGAAATTGGTATTTTCAACAAATGAAAAGAAAGAAACAATGAACAATGTGATGACGGGGATGATAAGTAATTCAAATGAAAATTTTTATTTTGGTTTCAAATAGATTTTTTTAATAAATTTAAAAAATTTTTTATTAACTCAAAACTAAATGTAAAAAGAACTTGAATTAATTAGTTTTTTTTCATTTATCAGTGGTATTACTAAGTAATTTATATTATGTGAAAAGAAAATTCCAAGGAGTTATCATTTCTCTCACAACTAATCCAACTATTGATTTGATACATGCTATTTGAACATTAACTTATTTTTAATATGAATTTTTAAATGACCCACATTAAATTTTGTACAATAAATCAGTACACATATTTTGTTTAATTGTTTTATTAATGCCATATGATGTAATTGTTATAAATAATTTTATCATAACAGTGAATATATAAGATGCTAAAAAACTTGAAGAAATAGAATTAGGTTATCATAATATTCTTTGAAATACCTAACATGCGTGTCAAATTCATTTAGTCTTACTATCAATTCATTAAATAAACTAACCCTCCTATTTATTGTTTGAATTATTTCAACATCTTCAATTATTGAATTATTTTTACTTTAATAAGAATCTCATTAATTAGTTGGAAAACTGATTGGGAATTCGTTATATGTTTTATCACATCTTTGCACATCTTTTTGGTGAAGATACTTGACCATCTTTTCTTGGTTAAATTATTTGAACATACGTTATATTATTAAATTCTATTAATTAAAAAATTTACATACATTATTTGTTATTTTGATTGTACTATTATTTAACAGAATGTTCATCATTGAAATTAGTAGTCATGAGTATTATGTGCATTATTCATGCATTTCTTCTTGTTTATTTTGAATACATTATTATATTAAATTCAATATCATTTATTTCATTCTAAATTCAATACCATTTTCATTATTGGCATTTAATTGGATAATAATTATATCTAATATAATTGTCTATATAACTATTCCATAATTCCCTTATTAAAAGATAATTAAATTTAGAGTATTTAATTTAAAAGTATTTATTTTATTGGTAAAAGAAAAAAGTTAAAAGTGTTTTATTTTAAATTGATAGGAAAATATAAAATAACAAAAATGGTACAAAAATTATAATAAAACAATAGGACATGTTCTTTAATACTAATTCAAATAACTCAATTTGTTATGTCATTGACGTTAATATGAAATTTAACTTCAAAAGGCGTCGAACTCAAAACACATGTATAATATTTTTTTAATAAAATTAACTATATCAAGTAGAGTTGTACCAGGGTATTGAGTGACAAAGTTAGAAAAAATAAATATGACACGTCATGACATGAAATTTAAGCGAACTAAAAATCTACCAAAAACAATACAAACTTCATGGTACATCACATATTCCTTTCAGGTTCTGTTGGAGTTGGAAAATCAACTATAATGAAACAGCTTGTTTCTTGGCTAAGTTATAAGTTTAGAGTGTATCAGATGAAAGAGTTTATAGATATTGATACTAATGGAATGTCTCGCTTGAAAGAATTCCAAGAAAGGATAATTTCAAAATATACCTTTCATAAATATATAATATATTGGTACAAGCAACAAGCAAAAAGTTCTGATTTTACTTCTGCTGATATTGTATTATGGGAGCGTCACCCCATTGAAGCACATGATATCTTTTGTAGTGGGACAGATGATATAAGTGAGATGGAAAAAGAAGATCTTAATAATGAAATTATTAATTTCTGCAAAGATTATTCAATACCATTAGCTCATAAAGGGTATTGTGAAGTGACGATGCTGGATACAGCTAATCAGACAGTAGACGAGTTAGTGAAAACGATTTATACGAATTCACTTTCTAAAATTAGAATGGATGAACGTCAATTTAATTTCACGTTCTTCCTATATTGTTCAGATATAGATGTGCAGTATAAACGTATCACAGTTAGGGGAAGAAATTCTGAAATTCAATTCTACAAGAATAGAGAAAATCTATATTGTATCAACAAAAAATACTTCGATTATTTTATTGAAGTCATGAATTAAGTTAATTGAATTTTTTTTTAATTTTATCTTTTTTAATTTTAATTTAGTTATATATTGACAAACATTGGTTGTGTAATATTGTTTCACCATTTTCGTTACTATTGAATATTTGTTTAAGGAAGGTGTGTTAATGATAATGCTTTACAAAGGGTTGTTTTTCATTCCATTTTCATGATGGCAGTGAGTTGTTTGTGTTGTCATAATAGTTTAATAAAGATTTTTTATTTTAGATGAACATTAAGTTCACCTAGAAATATCATCATGATGATGAGCAGTAAAAGATATTTAATAATCATAAGACAAAATATTTTCTCCTAAATTTATCTCCAGGTAAGTGGAGTGTGAAATTACCATTGGAATATATTACTTCTGAAAATTATTCCAAGATAAGAGAAGTATTGAAACTTATATATTTTAATTTGAATGGTGGATATTGGTGTTAATTATCATGGTTCAATTAATTATGACTCTCCAGAAAATGACGAAATGGTGTGTTTCAAATCATACTAGAATATGGTACAAAAGCATTTCAATGTGAATAAAAAATAATAAAAATAGAAATAATTTAAAGACTATAAAGGAAACATCATTAAGTTATTTTGATTATAGATGAATATTTTATCTTAGAATTTAATTTCCATTATTAATTGAAGAAATTTATTCAAAGCATTAAAATAAAAACAATATTTTAACAACATGTCGTTTCAACAACAACACAGTTTATTTTGATACGATTAAAATAAATGAATAAAATAGAAAATACCATTCAAATACAGTCTAATATCATTAATCATCTTGTTAATGAATGTGATACTAAAAGTAACATACACCATATTCTTATTCAATTATTACTGATTTCCATTCATCATTATCATCTTCTAGACTATAAAGTTAAATAAATATAAATTAAGATGAAATGAATAGAAAATCCATATGTCAGTCTTCATCAGATTTTATTATAAATTAAAACAGTATTTAAAATGTAGATATATATTCTAAATTAGTTGAATATACAAATGAAGTATTAAATATAACAAGAATATGTGAAGATATTGATTGAGTAACTAAAAGATATTTAAAACAAGTTAAGAATGAAATATCAAATTGAATCAGTAAAACGCAAGTAAAACTATCAATGAAAACATTATTATCTGTTAATAAACTTAATACTGAATTATAAGACTATATAATAAGAAAACAATAAATGAAATGGGGTAGAAAATATCCACAACTAAATAACTCATTATTATCAATTGATTCATAAGAAAATTGATTTAACAAAAAGTTAAAAATAGAAATAAAACAACAGGAAAGAAAATAATGGGAACGTGATTGAAGTTATATAAAAGCACTAGCAGTCTAACGTCTAAAATAAAACTTATTTTCAAAATGAAATACAATCATAATACCATTATGATAGAAAGAGTACTAAAATTATATGAAAGATAGTGAAAAGTAAATGAAAGTATTTCAAAACGAAAGTGAAAGAAGTAATAAAAGAATAATGAAGTATTATTAAATAAATAAGATCAGAATTGAACCAAGATAAAACATGAAATAAATGGAAAAGGAGCAACTAAAGAATAATATAAAAGAAAATTGTTATCTTTAACAACATACAAACAAAAAATTAATTAAAAATTTCAAATATTCATCTTATTAACTTTTGATTTTATCATTGCCTATTTCCTCTTTTTTGATGTGTATCATAACTATTGTTTATTAATAATTGCTTTTCTTCTATTTTTTCTTCATGTCTAATGTTTTCTAATTCATTTAAAATTCAAGATTCATTTTATTCACATTTGAATACAAATATATTATAATAATTTATTCACCAATAATTAATAAATCATGTTGACTAAAATTCAAAAAATAAAACAAAATTGAGATATATAACACTTACATTTTATATATCGTAAAATATGATGTTTTAATTAATTTAATATTAATGCGACATATATTATTCTGATAGAGTATTATTTATAATGTATTAACTATTTGCTTTATTATATATTCAATTCATTATAAAACAAATAGTCATTAATTTTAGAATTAATGACAAATGTGTGTATCACACTAAATGACAAATTACACCATAGAAAAGATATATAAAAATGTCAAATAATATTTTTTGGATTTTCTTCACATTGATAAGTGATTATTTCAGTTTCTGCATTATGCTCTATTGATGTAATAGAGTTCA